AGACGTCCTCAGCTTCTCTTCCCATCGCGTGAAAAAAGGTGCTCACCCGTGATCCTGCGTTGCGCAGGTGAAGTCCTGATAAGATGCGGTAGCGCTTCCACCTTGCAATCTCTGTCACAACTGTCGAACATTTTCGAGGTAGACCTCCCGCCATTTTCGCCATTGTGCTCTCCGCGGCGTGTTCTCTTCCGTCCGGTCTTTCCTGGATGCCCTCCGATCGCTGAACTGCATCTTTCCATCCTCGAAGTTCACCGCCGCCACCATGGTGTGTGTACAGTTAGGTCCAAAGAAGCGCAGCTGTAGTTTTGACATTTTCATAACGACGCCAACTTGGGCGATGGCGACCCTTCTCTACCGCGTCCGTCCCGTCCGTCCGACTCCGGCGTCAGCATAGGCAGCGCCATCTGTCGACAGCGCGTACCACTAATCCGCACCCGCGTGCCACGGCGGCCGGCTAGCTCTGATTAGTCAAAAGGTAAATTTATTTAATAAAAGAAAAAAAAAATACTGTAGGTATTTAAATAAATGTTTTAATATATTTTAATAATGCACTAAATGTTCATTTAGGTGAACACATTTTGTCACTAATTATATTTTCCGATTAAAAAATTATTTAGTTAATTAAAATTTTTATATTATTTTTATAAATATATAAATGTACCCCAGTAATTAAAAATTCCCTATTTGTATAAATCTAAAAATGTTAGTGTTTTTAGTTTTTCTTCATTAGCAAAGGTCAATACACCCCCAACTTGTCCAAATTGTTGCCCAGTGTGAACTGGGAACGGGAAAGGCATTTGAAATCCGACTGGGAATCGCTCCAACCAGTTACTTTCCTAACTGGTCCCAGTTCACTTCATTCCCAACTGGGAGTCAAACCAGTCGACTCCCAACTGGGAATGGTTCAAACCAGTTGACTCCCAACTGGGAATGGTTCAAACCAGTTGACCCCTCAGCTGGCCCCAGTTGGACTCCTATTGGTCCCAGTTGATTCCCAGTTGGGACCAGTTAGTCCCAGTTGCTTTCCAGTTGGGACCAGCTAGTCCCAGTTGAAACCAGTTGAGGTGCCAACTGGTCCCAGTTAGAAATTTTCGCCTGGGTTTGATGGGTAGCCAGCCGTAACAAAAACAGAGTCACGTGCTTCACCTTAGCGAAGTACATGGCGAAGGGCAAGCCTCATACCTACGGGAACACAGGGGAGGGTGAAGGGTGCAGGCATTGTTCAGTAGGCCTTGAGCCAAACGCACGGGTGCTCAGCATACTGCCCAGCACCCCCAGGAAAATGTCAGGGGGTGCTCAAACCCCCGTTGCCCCTCTGGGGCTCTGGGGTCTCTGAACACTCGTGCATATGAAGCACTTTCGAAAACCAGTGTGAGCGAAGCACGAGCTACAAGAGCGAGCTCTGTGTTTTGACCGTGCTTTAAGCATGCCTGCCCCACTCACACAGGTGGCATTCATAGCGTCACTGGCGTTTTACCGTTTTACCGCTCCATGCACACCTTTTAGTAGGAACGACGTTTTAGCGAATGGCGGTAGCCAGCCGGCAACAGCCATGCGGCGCCACCAGTGAAAGCCCACTATTATGCCTCGTCTTGTTGTAACTTGGCAAAGGGTGAATGATAAGCCTCACATTGTGTGCCGACGGCTTCGATATGCGCTACGTATACGAGTGTAACGTGTACATATATTGGAGCATGACGCAGCGAAAAGCCTGATACTTCGGAGTAAAAGCGCACTTTGGTGATACATAGTCATGTTCCGATTGGCCTGCCAGGGCCGTAGCTTCCGCCGTACTGGCATGTTGCGCGATCACGGCTTCCTGGCCTACCCGGTATTTCTTGCTTCAGACATTAGGCTATGTGGTGCCACCAGAGCAATACAGAGTGCAAGTTTGTCTGCTTCTTTTTGGCTGTGAGTGAAGGGTAATGGGTAGGCTTTGAAGCAAGCTGCCTTGAGGTCTACCCACTATTCTTCAATCATAGCCAATCGGAGCATGGCGTTCTGACGTCACCCCAACCCCTGCAAAAAGAAGCAGGCAAGCTTGCGCTCCACATAGCTCATGTTTGAACAATGCAGCCGCCACTCCCAGGCTTACCCAATGTTTCTTGCTTCAGGCGCAAGATAGCGCTAAAAAATATACAGCATTGCAGGTTGCCTATACAAGGCGTAAGTTTGTCTTCTTCTTGCACAGGGGTTGCAATGATGCCAGAATACCAAACTTTGGCTGATTGGAAAAAAAAAAAAGTTGGTAGACTTTGAGGCATTTATAGTATTGATGTCTATCCACTGTCCTTTCAATCAGAGCCAGTCAGCGCTCAGCATCATTCTGATGTCATCGCAATCTCCAAGAAGCGAACAACTTGTTCTCCGCATAGTGAGGGACTTTTAACAAACCTTTAACATGTTCCTCTTACTGCACCCTGGGTGCACGGTGCACACGCTTAAAATTAAGCATGCTTCAAAGGCTCTGGTAGTGCAGTATTTGGAACCTGGTAATAGTTTGCTAAAAGTCTTCAATTGACCCCGTAAGTGATATTGTCACAACATGGTACTCCACTCGAAACAAACCATTGTTATGGACGAGTGCATAGGGGCTCGACGTGAGGTTAGAAATTCTCTCATAAAAAAGTGAATAATTTTTTCTAAGCATTGGGTCTTCTAAATACCTAATCATCGAGACTTTTAATATTGTTTCAGTACCTTAAAGCGATGACAAAATCCTGTAATAAGATTTCACAACCGGTTTTGCCTTGCTAGCAGACAGCACAATGGCTTCGCAAGTTCGCTGGTTCTTTCTGACGGAGTACACGACTGTGCAAACACATCCCCGTGAAGCTCTTCCGCAATATTTGAGAAGGTGAAAGCACTGTGAAGCCAAATCACGCACAACAACGATGTGAAGTGTATGGAGGTTGAAGTGCAGACCAGCACACATTTCAAGGATTTCCGACAGCACAGCTGCTCCAGTGCACACTGTGTGATCAGACAAACTGTCCATAACAAATATATGTATTGTCGCAGATGGGTACGGATCGACAAACGTAAAACAGAAAATAAAGATTTAATCGGTGAACTTAATGTGTCTAGAAATGAAAGAAAGGATGAGCGTCGACGACGGCGGTAGCAGTCAGCAGCGATGCGTTGGCGTGACAGCTGGCTGTGAGTCGGCAATGTCGCACTCGGCTCAGTATCTACGACACTCTGCATCTTAAGCATTCGACCTAGAATGTCGGTTAGAAAGCTATGGCGAGGCTGACTAGGCAAGGTCATTCTGGCCTCCTAATCTTCTACACTCAAGGTAAAAGTAAACTTGAATCTTCTAGAGGCACGGAGAAACGTTCTTTCTCAGTCATGCATGCTCTGGGTCTTACTTTAAACTGAAAAATCAGTATGATTTTTTCTCGGTTTGGTGATTACAAGGCAGGTATGAAACGCACACCCATATTACGAGCCTAAAAAAAAAAGTTTGGTTTTTGAATCGCTCATGTTAGAGTCAAAATAGCTGTTCTTTCATTATACAATGCACATTAACTGCAAAATCAGAAACAGGATCTGATGCATATCTTGTTCTGAACAAATGCTTTCCTTGCTGTGTTTGTAGCAGATCTCCATGCGTGTGATGATTTTCGTCAGACAGTATCCCGTGCCGAATGCAAATACAATTCTTTTTTATAAACCTGATTAGTTTTCTTAGGCCTTCCATGTTCCAAACAAATACAAAATTAAAATCATATCATTGTGCAATTGATTATACTGTTGCAGACGGCATACTTCAGTCATTCTGTGTGCGTTAACCATGTGTTCATTGTCTGCAACAGGCCTTTTGAGACATCTCAAGGACTGGAAGTTGCCGTCGCAAATATTTTAGAAACGGCCGATTTTTGGCAAACTTGTGTCGTGGTAAGTATGAAATCTAGGCTCCCTTTATTTATGATTTTTAGACGTTTAAATTCCACGTCCAATTTTTGACTGATTTTTCCTTTGGAGCGGAATTCAGTCCCATGTATTCGTCCATAACAATGCCCCTAGCAATGGTTTGTTTGGAGCGGTGACTTGCGGGGCCAATGTCAATTTTAGCGAACGGTGTATATGTATAGCAACTGTGACGGCATTGACATCAAGGAAATAACCGACGTGGAAGAATGTAGGTTGTTTCGATTTTGTATATGATCGTTACGGAAAAGAAATTATCACTGTTTATACATGCAAGATTAGAGTGAAAGCAGTCAAACTCGCACTTCATGATTGAATCAAACCGGCCAAGCTTTCTTCTTCTTTGCTGGCTCAACTTCTTTCTCCTTTCGAAGCAGAACGAAGTCTAAGGCTTTTCTTAGTCCCCCTCCAAGGGGCAAGATGTTATGGGCCCTTTTTTGGCACAGACCCTACAAGAAGACCAGCAGGATCTCTTAATTTTTGTATCTGTGCTAACACTCTTTGGGTAATGATTAAGCACAACAAAGGTTACTCTGTTCAATTGAAGTTTTTGTTGGAGAGTGCGTGTATGAAAGACCTCAGGCTACGATAAGTGTTGTAGGCAGTGCTTAGACTTATCGCTCCTTTCTAAGGTTACCTGCCATTGAAGGCACTTTATGGTGCTCCCACTTGAAAACTGCTTATTGTAGGTCTCTCTGTAAAGAGTAGTGATGGGCCAAACTTTTGCCGGATCGAAAATTCGGCTCCGAATCTTGAGATTCGACAAATCCGAATTTTCGCCAAACTTAATTTTCTAAAGATTCAGCAGAGATCCATTGTTGCCAGACCTTAAAGTCGATATACCGTAAAATACCAGGCAGGCGCCCACTTAAAATTTAGAGATAATCTCGAAAAAATGGGGGATGGGCGCTTGTCCGGTCACAAATTTTATATATCAATGTACTGTGCATATTCTCTCAGATTTTACAAATTTGGGAGTCGGCGCTTAATGTGGAATGGGCGGATGCGCGGTATTCTACGGTATAATTTTTTCATGTGAAAAAAGCTTTTTTGTTTTAACGCATGCTGACAGATTTATTACTAAATAAGGTGATATTCCCAAAGATATTTGTATCCGTGTCATATTTGAGTCTTTACTGCTAATTTTAAAGTTAATTTTTACAGGAATGGTGCGACGACGGGGTTGGGTAGTATTAGTAGGGGACGCAGTCAGCGCAGTCGCGATACGCGAGTTTCGGTTTTAAGGCCTCATCAGCGCAAGCCTGCAAGTGTTCTATACTTCTTCCACTGTGTTCTATACTTCCTCCTTTGTGTTCTGTACTTCCTCTGCGCCTCACTGTTTCGTGTGCGAAAACGGATGCAATGGCAGTTGATCCTTCAACAGAAGAGATGACGATATTATTGTAAATATGCATATTTTTTTTATTTGAGTCACTTCAGCCTTGCATGAAAGTGTGCGTCCTATATTCGCAACGTCTTGTTTTTGACTTTTAAAATGCCGGTTTCTGATGTTAGGACACACCAGACGTTTAGGAACATAAGAAGATTTAGGAATGTCAGATGTGCAACGTCGAACATGATAGTTTTGTGTTTAGCTTTATGCGGATAGACGAAAACCGCAAAATAACGCTAAAATTGAAAAGCAATATTATTTTGGTTTGGCACAAACTACTTGTGAGCCGAAAACAGGATTACTATAATGGCGAGGAGTGCTTTAAGGTACTTGTAAGTCAATGTTACAACTACCTCGTTGCATCACTGGAAAGATCAAATGAAAATCATGTTATCCCGAATGTACCGCATCATAATTATCACTTGCGCAGTGGACTGCATCATTTTTGCTTCCATTTCTGGTTGATCTTATGTTCTTGAGGCAGAAAATATTGAAGAGAACCACACTCACAAAGGATGGCAAACACACAGTTACCATATCGCCTATGCCACACCTGGCCGTAATCTCTGGTAGTACTACACTGTACGAGGGTAACCGCACGACCACATGGCGTCCATTTGCAATCCATGACCTTGTCGCGTTTCCGCGTGTGCGCAGAAGCTTGCCGGATCTTTGCCGAACATTTCTTTAAAAGTTCGGCATGTGCCAAACTTTGCCGAATTTGAAGTTCGGCAGATTCGGTCCATTACTAGTAAAGATTTTTGTGTCAGTGCAGTTTATTTCATTCGATAGAGGGTCTGCAAGCAAATGACAAGGCAACTTACTCCCTTTTTTTCATTGGGTGTAACACTATCTAGCTGTAATCGAAGAGGCATTAAACATCCATATTTATAAAGCCTCAAGTCAAGGGGAAAAAAAAAAAGAAAAAGGAACAACAGAACGAGCGCCATCTCCTGCAAGAGAGTTGGTGCTCAGCTGTTAAGGTTGGCCAATTCGGGGTACTGCTTGAAACTTGCTACTAGTGTGATGCGAAATGTTTTGGTTGGCTTAAGGAAGAGAGCTGTAAAGTGGGAAAAGCCTGGTAAGTGGGTATGCTTGCCCTTTTTTCACGGCTTTTTGCACAATTTGAAGGCTGTGGCACGAAGCTATGGCATAAGAGTTGCCTTTAAAATGACTTCAGATAAAGTACATTGACGCCACAATGGCTTGTAAGGATTCGGTTGTGTATGAAAATCCTGTGGCATGTGACTTCTTGTATGTCGGTCAGACTCGGGACTGTTTAAACAACAGGCTACTGAAACACGAAAGAGCTGTAAAGGCTTTTTTTCTTTGGCAAACTCCGAACTTGCAAAACATATGAAGGAATGTCAGAACTATTATTCATAATAGATGCAAACTAAAGTGCTTAGCAAGGAAAAGGATCCATTCAAGAGCGTGATGAAGGAGACGCTTCAGATCACAGTAAGTGTAAGCAATGGACCTTTTGTAGAAACATCGGTTCGAGAGTAAATGGTTCCAGTACCCTCTCTCTCTTCCTTCTGGCCGAGCAGAGAGGGAAGATGGTTTCGTTGTGTCGACTTCGGGGCGGAAGATTACCCACGATGGGGACAAAGGCGAGTTTGGGGGAGCCATATCTAGGTCACAGCGCCTCAATGGGTGAACGGGATGTAGCTGACTCTTTGGGTGTGGAACGGGTGGGAGAGGCCTTGCGCGCGCGTTGTTTTCTCGCCACTTAGCCTCGAACCCAGTCGCGTGTCTAGGTGGCAGCACATATTCGCCAAGAGGTCCATTGTATCAGCATGGCCTCAATGACCTTGGGATGCGGCTACAAAGTCTTTATCTGTGGAGGTTTGGCATCCGTGCCTACGTGGGTTGGTGCGAGGCACCCCTCTTAGGTGGGGGCCGTTCCCATGTGGCGTTGTTGGGTGTCGTTCCCATGTTGGGATGTGTTCCGCTCTATAGACCTTTGCAAAAAGAGCGCTCTGGCCGCCGCCATTTTGCGAATCAAGCGACCCCTATCAGCCAGAAATTTCTGGCACCCGCCTGAGCTGTGGAAACCCGGTTAGCGTGACTCCCCACCTTCATTGTGCATTTGGAGTTCGCCGGCTTTTCTTGGAAGTTTTTACTTTATTTGCCTGTTTAGGATGCTTACCCTTTGTATGTTATCTTCCACTGTGAGAACCAGAGAATACCAGGGCTCGTAGGCTGCTCGGCCTTCGCAGGAAACGAACGAAGAGAGCGAACGTCAAGCAGCCCGCGACGCAGGCAGTTCGACGTTCTTGGAGGATTATTTCCTTTGAGATAATCTCCAAAAAGCCTTCCCGGCTGTGTTCCGGGTCTTCGCGAAATATAGCTGATAGGGTCGGGTCCGGGGTGTGGGGACAGAATAGACACGTTCGTTCATTTGCTTTGAAGCTGTGCAAAAAAGCTGCTCTCTTCTACACGTTCCCCAAAACGCGCCGGATTCCGTCCGGTTCTCATGAAGTGACTATCGTCGACACTGTATATTGGATATGCTGTGTTATTTGAGACCTTTCTCAAATCCTGTTCGGATAACGCGGCACCGTGGGGTACGTACAATATATGTTGTTCGATTGATGAGACTCATTGAGTTTCATGTTGTGGGCGGGGAATATCCATGCAGTTCGGATATCCTATGTGGTCAAATATTTTGACCTATATAGATTGACACGGCTGAGTGTATGGTGCCGTCAAACAATGAACATAAAATGAAACAACCATTCCAGTTGCATTTGTTCTGTCGCGCACGAACTCATCAAGACAGCTTTCATTTCTTTGTTTTTGTTCCCAAAAATAGAGCACTGCATTCTTAGATACCTCTATAAATTATGTTCGCCACACAACACAAAATAAGAAAGAAAAAGCGGCAATTTAGCCTCCACCAGCGTCCGGAATTGCGCCTACGCAGGCTGCCACAGCCTACTGACGAGAAACTCCACAGCTCAGCGCAGTCGGGCAACACTGACGTCCACTCTCAAAACCAGGGACGCGCGCTGTAAATCGCTTCGTTCGAGACTGCCGCTGGAAAGGTCTATATAAAGAGCTTTTCCTGTAAATAAATCTAATAAATCATCTTGCAGCTGAGCTTTCGGACAACTTTGTGTTGTTTTTCAGTATGGTTGTTTGCCATCTAGCCTGTGCTATTACCCTTATTTCAGTACTTCAGCATTGCAGCAATTCTACCAGGTGCTTGAAACTGAAACTAACAATGTTTTGTCTAAATAGCTTACTGCCTTTCAATGTCCAGTGCACAGTGAATATGAACTAGGATGGATGATGGAAGTAGATGGTGCTCGTCCATTGACTTTTTCTTGAAGACCACTGTTGCATGTCACTAGCTTATGGCCAAGTGTAATAAAGTACCGTATGCATACTGCATCAGATGTGGTCCCATTTTGTTGTTTGCTTCACCAACCAAGAATGGCTGTTGGCAATTACCTTGCATGTTATTCCTTTGTGCAGCTCCCTTCTACATATTTTACATCTGCATCTCTTCTGTTCAGGCAGAAAAAGTGTCCCATCGTGAAATCATGGCACCTGGCACCGGTACTCAAGTGGGAGTGTTGGCACTGACGGCAACGTTTGTCGCTGGTACCGTCGGGGTGACCTACTGGTGGCTTAGGAACAGGTTCCTCAAGGTTGCCCAAGTCAAGAGCATCGTGATCTACCCAATCAAATCCATCATGGGTCTGGAGATTCCGTATGCATACTGCAGTATCGAAGGTCTTGTGTACGGTGCCATTAAAGACAGGTAAGAAGGTTGGTCAACCAACTGACCTAAATGCATGGTATTGAGTGAGAACAGCGAGCCTATGCCATGTCAGCCGATGAAAGTGCACCTACTGCACCAGAGTGAGATTCCTGCTAGGGTTTCGATAAAGACAAGATTGCCTATACTCATTATCACTTCAAGGACCGCTGTAAAAAAGTTTGCTCCTTGGAAATTAAGCTTTACAAGTTCACCCTTCATGTGGTGCAAAGCCGATTGCGCCTGCCTTCATGGCGAACAATCGCAATAAAGTCACTTGTTCAGACGAGGCATTGATAAAGTAGTGGCCCATTGTTGTCTGGGCCATTGTATCTGTATTTGAGATCGGTCATTTGTTATTTTATTAAGACTTCGGTCCCATGGCGGCCATTTTGAACAAGCCTTTAGTTAAACCACTACATATGGCGGCACCAGTCCGTGTGGCCGAAAAACTGTGGTATGGCACGTGGCCAACATAACATGGCACTGCGGTTCCTCCTCTATACTTAATTTCCTCCTTTTGCACCTGCTCCTCTGTGCACGTTGCACATTCACTGTTTGCTCTTGCCCGCATCGCGCAGTGCTGGTGCTGCCCAGTTTGCACAGCTGCGAAGCAAGCCCAGCCAGCTCATCTCTGGGAGGATGCTAAGCTGGGTAGCTTTTATTATCTGATATGGGCCGCTGATCCGCGGCTCGACGATTGCCACATGCTTTCGTGAAAAATATTATACAGTGATTAAAGATTTTGCAGCTTGGAATATTTGCTCAACATAAGAGTTTAGGAGAGCTTTTCTTTTTTTTTTTTCAAGATGTGGGTTGAAGAGGACGTTGGCTAGAAAGATAGTGACGCTTGACAATCAATTTATTTTATCAGTATCATAACAATTGCAGAGTGACCGTATGTAACCGAATATTGTTTCCTAGGCAGGCACTGCTTATTGGTTAAATTAAAGTGCCTACAAAAGGTGCACTTACAGAGAATGGTATTTCTTGAGGCGCCAACTGAGATATAACTTAGTAGTTAGAGTAGATAGTTTCGACAACTCCTGTAACTACACCTAATACCCTGCCGTGCCTTTGCGCATTAATGCCTTATTGCTCTCAGACTGCAAGAAGCATCTATTAAAACTCTAATGGTGGGGAATTTAGGAATGATGTGATGGCGTATTGTGGGAGGCATCATTCTCTTCGCGAAAAAAGTTTCTCTGTCATGACTGTTAGTTGGTGCCCGTAAAAGGTGCTTTTGAATATCAAGGCATAAACATTTCTACTCCGTTTCGCTGCAAGCCGTAGCACAGTCGATGTTACGAGCCGATTAGGCATATCAACCAGCGCCAAAAAGCACTACGTCATGGAGCTTGTCATCCTCTAGTGCGTATGGAGTGCTAGTCTCCCACTGGTCCCCCCCTCCCCGAAATCTTCCATTTTGCTGTGGCCTCTTCTCCCACTCCCCCTGATACAGCATTGTGTCATAACCCCCCCCCCCCCAATCAAAATCCTTATGCTAGCTGAAGGAGTATAATTTAGATGCAAATTTGGTTTGGTTTCTTCAGTAGGTGTGCACAGACAATAGGGTAGTTATAACATGGGAAGCAGAAAGTACACATCCTGCTGCAATAAAAAGCGCACTCAGGCAGGGCTGTTCACTGTCATTTCTATTCTTCATGATATATCTCAGTGAAATGAAAAAGAAATTAGAGCAGAGCAACTTAGGTTTTGATGTGAATTATATGGAAGAAGGGAGAAATGTAATACAGGTAATACCAGGACTGATGTATGCAGATGACTAAATGCTCATGGCAGATAACCGGAATACATTACAAGAACTAGCTGGAATATGTGGAGAGGAAGGGGACACCTTGGGCATGCGTTTTAGTAGAGACAAGTCTGGAGTAATGGTGTTTAATTATGAAAAGGGTTTTTAATGATGAAAAGGGGGAACCCCTGAGGATACATGACATTGTAATAGACCATGTAGGGAAATACAAATATCTGGAAGTCTGGCTTAATGAGGGTAGGAAATATCTAGAGGAACATGAGGAAAATAAATTAGAAAAGGGAAAATAAATTCATCCATTATGAAGCCCAAGGGAACTATAATAGATATGAAGTGGTCAAAGGTATATGGAAAGGCGTGATGGTACTAGGACTGTCTTTTGGCAATGCAGTACTGTGCACGAAATCAGAGGTTCAATCAGGATTAGAAATTCGACAAAGAAGCATAGGCAGATTGGCACTAGGGAGCACATGGAAAAACACCAAATGAGGGAGTACAGGGGCACGTGGGATGGTCGTCTTTTGAGAGCAGCGAGGCAGTAATTAGTAAGTTGAAATTTGAACAACGGTCGACTGAAATGGATGATATGTGGTGGGCACGGAAAGTATTCAAGTATTCAAACATGAAAAGTTTAAGCACAAAATAGACAAACCGAACCCGAAAGCATATATTTAAATTTACTTACACACTATAGCAGGGGTCTCAAACACGTGGCCCGGGGGCTGCATGCGGCCCGCGACTCGCTGAGACGCGGCCCGCTGGCAACCGGTTACAAGACCCGGTTTGCATGTCTCAAACGCTAGAAATGGCATGTGCCATCGTGATCTCATTTCGCCGATTCATTTTCGCTCAAAAAGTAGCTCCGCTCTTTTAACATATTCACATAGTTTTTTTTATCTTTGTTCATTTGCACTTGGTTTCGCTTGATGTTTTGCTTCCCAGCCTTTGTAATGTAGAGCAATTCCGTTACTAGGCTGCAGGCGCGAGCTTTTTGTTGAAGTATGAATCTCGGCTGCGCGAATTCTCGATGAGCAGGAGCAACTGCCGAAGATAAAGCTACGAGCTCGGGATTCTCACCTTACGACTAGATCACTATTAAAAGACAAGTACCGGTGTTGTAATAGAAATCGTCAGGAAAGAAAGAACTGCCAAATTAACTCATTGTTTTTAGAGACATATTGAGCTTGGTTAATACCCGAGTGAATTGAGCATTGAGAACGACATGTACTTGCTCTCTTGTTCTATCAAAATACAAGCAGGTTGGCAAGGCGGTGTTATTTTAATTATTGCTATCACTTTAGGTCAGGGCCTAAGGTATTCATCTAAACAAATCAAATCTAAAAATGTCCCTGGCAAAACTGAGCTTACACTAGGCATAGGGCACGAGGTCTCTTCTCTTTCAAATCATTTGAATCCCCCCCCCCCACCCCCCCTCTTCAACGTTGGCCCTCGGCCTTCCCAGTGCAGGCTATCTGGCCCCCACGCTCAAATGAGTTTGAGACCACTGCACTATAGTGATGGTGCTGAGCTTTAGTGGAAAAAGGGATGAAAGAGGCAGAGAGGAAAATGTGGGAGGGACGAATGCTGGAGAAATCAGCTCTAACAGTGTGTAGATCACAAAAGCAGGATATAAGAAAGGAAAATGTGTTTGAAAGTTCACTGGGAAGTTCTTTACTGTTTGAGGCGAGAACGAGAGTTTTGAGGACAAGGATGTATAGAACCAAATTTCAGGAGACGGACATATTATGTGCCGCCTGCCATAATGAGAGCGAGACACTAAAGCACTTGGTTTTGATTTGGCCGGGCGCCCTGTAGGTTTTACTGGCGACGATGGAAGGACGGAAGAGAAAAGGATTACAGTAACAAAGAGGCGATTAGAAGTTTGGTAAAAATTATTTAGGGAAAATTGAATGATGCACAACTAACTAGTACAGCTGAGGACAGGTGGGACAAAGAAAAAGTGGGACTCCCTCCCATGTGGCTCCGGCTCAAAGTCTCAACCCTGTCTCGCAGCGGGTCTGGTGCTGGGGTAACGCCGACAAGGTTTGACCAGAAAAAAATTGGCGACTCTTTCGCCGGGGGGAAGAGGCGGGAGGTGATGTTTTTAGTTCTTTTGGCCGCTCCCTTGAAGGACATCCTGGTGATATCTCGCACTGCCTGGTGGTAGTTGGGGGGAGAAAATTGTTCTTAGAAGGGCGGGAGGAATCATATGTTTGTCTTTTTAGACTTGGGCTAGGTGGCGCAAGCTACCACCCGTTACAAAGGGTATAGCCTTTAGCATCCATCCATCCAACCATCCAGATGTATGCGATCCCCCTGTCCTGCCAAGCCAAGTACATCGGACAAACAGGCTGGTGCCTAAACGACCAGCTTCGAGAGCATCATGTGGACGTGAAGATGCTGCTTCAGATTCCCAACAACCGATTGTCATTTATGGGATAAAATGCCATGGCTGCGCGTCTATGTCATTCATGGGATAAAATGCCCTGGCTGCGCATCTATTTTCTCCTCAACGACGACCTTGGGGGGCTACCTTGAACGCATTGGACGAGAAATAAGCGAGGCTTTTTGGATGGCAACGAGCCCACAGAACACAAGTACTCTGTCCATCTTGCTGTCTCAAAAGGAATTGGCTTTTCTGAGGCCAATGATGGACGTCGAGCAATGATGCACATGGTGAGACGACGAAGTCACCAGCAGAGGCGGCTGCGCTATCCCGTAATCCCATAATTTCCGTCTGTACCCCCTTTTCCTTTTAAAAGTTTTCTTGCAATCCTGGAATTGCAAAAAACAGGAACAGAGCCCTTTTCCCCTTCTATTGTATGCGGTTAAAAAGGGAGCTGCTTATACGGACTTCACAACAAAAGATTCACATAAAAGCAACATTGGGGGAATGGATCTATGTCACTGGAGTTCGCTGAAGCCAGCAGGATCTACCTTCGTTTTCCCTAGGATAAGTAACTAGCGTGCGTGCACCACACAAAAAAAGAAAAAAGTTGTTTAGGTGGTTTTGAAATTTGGGGAGAAATCGGGTTTAACCCAATTTTCCAGAAACATGCTTGGGATGTAAACATCTGGTAGATACAGGTTTTACCCGAAAACGAAGAACCCAAAATATACAGTGCCAAGGACGCTTACATTTGCGAGGAGCACTTTCTGTACAATGACACGCCATCCCAATCTTGGTACAGCTGGTTCAGAATGGTCCTTTCGAAGCTTCGAAAGG